TATATAATGTGTATATTAGTGTAATAACAGCAAAAGGATTATGCTGAGAGGAGCCATATGGGTGACGGAGGTGACGTCGTCTGCACGATTTGTCTAGCTGTTTAGAGGGTGGCCACTATGCTCTTTGGGCGCACTACAAGCTTAGGTGTACAGTTACGGTGCATAAAACATGTAGATATTTATATATAATATGTGTATATAGGGTAATAACACTGCAAAAGGTATTGTTGGGGGAGAAAGTTTAGTGTGTGTGACCTTGAAAGAGTGAGGGAGCCGCCAGCCGCCATCTGTGTATAGCGACGACTCTTAGTGCCTGAACTAACTATATCAGCTTAGCTGTACAGTTGTGGTGAACAAAATATACACATACTTATATATAACGTCTGTATATAGTGTAATAACACCACAACTGGTATTGTTGGAGGAGAAAGTTTAGTGCGTGTGACCTTGAATGAGTGAGGGAGCCGCCAGCCGCCATCTGTGTATAGCGACGACTCTTAGTGCCTGAACTAACTATATCAGCTTAGCTGTACAGTTGTGGTGAACAAAATATACACATACTTATATATAACGTCTGTATATAGTGTAATAACACCACAAATGGTATTGTTGGGGGGAGAAAGTTTAGTGCGTGCGTTGAGAGAGTGGCAGCGAGTGGCTGGCTGGTGTGTGGCGGTAATTCCTCGTTGCTTTTCGACTCTCAATACCAACTTAGTGGTTCATTATGGTGACCAAAACATGCCAATACTTATATATAACATGTGTATAGAGTGTAATAGCAAAACTATTTGTTCATTGTTTTATAAACATAATAATTGAATCACTAATATGCACATCATACTTTTGAGTATAGCGATTATTAACCACTTTTATTATATAAATATATTACAATACACACTATTGAATAATATTACTGCAAAAAAACTAAGAAAAAATCAATCGGAGACATTGAAACAATTAGGTAATAATATCTTTGTGGCAACTCCCATCTGTCAACGCGGGTGACGCTGACCGGGTCTGACGACCGCTCTGTCAACGCCCACTTTTTGCCAGACTTCCTCGGTCAATTGTGCCCAAAATATGTCACCTACGATTTTTTTTTTTTTTTTCCGTGCTCAGGGGACACAAATTAACATGTTTAGAAGACGAAAAAAAATTTTGAATTTTTTTTTTTCTTGCGCACAGGGGTGTAAATGTCCCAAGGACCCCTGAGCAGTGTAAGGGTTAATATAGTGTACGTGTTCATTATACATAGGATTGGCACGTAAAAGCATATTAAATGTATTTGGAACTGTGCGCAGAAAATGAACAAAAATATATTCGCAGCAACTCGCGCATCCTACCCCGAGCGCCCTACCGGCCACGGGCGACCAAGGAATGATGACGTCACACACGAACTTACGGACCCCATAGCAACCAAAGTACGTACAATTTCGACCTTCTGTTACTATACCCATACTCAGGGAAGGGTTTTTGACACTTTCAAAACAGAAAAGAATTTTTTCCAGAGATTGTATTTCCTGCGCACTGGGGGGGGTCATATTTGGAGGCCGCGCAGTTAAGGGGTTAAATCAAATCTATACTGATTCCAAATTATGTGTTACACATTTTTGTTAAGACATTTTTAAATCTTAACGTTATACCTTAAAATTGATATAATGATATCACTAGAGCTGAAAATACAAGCTATTTCTACATTATAGCATGAGTGGTATTTAAAAAAAAACAAAAAACAATCTTATTGAATATCATTTAAGGTTATCAAACACACAGGTTATGGTACATACTATACTCCATTTCTAGTTGGCTAAGGAAAAATAATGAGCCACTCTAACTGTATTTAGGTATTAGATCTACAACAGGTTTAATTCACAAAGAACCCATTTGTACTCTGTTTCCCTCTCCATTTACTGTACATTTTGTACTCAATAAACATCAAAGTTAATCAAATCAATATAGTACACATTCATTCTCTCACAATTAATTCAGACTTACATGTCATACATTGGCACATCAACACTCTTTACTGGTCCATAAACAGAGAAGATCTCATGAAGATGTTCTTTATTAACATTACGAGTTAAACGACCAACATGAATTCTAGTTGGCCTTGGAGTGGGTGAGCGAGGTTTCCTTCTGGGACGTGGCGATCCAGACCTGTCAATGTTATAGCACACATTAATCATTTCTAATAATACATAAAGGAAAAAGAAAGTGAGAGAGTGTGAGTGAGTGTAATTACTTGTAATTAAAGTGTGGTTACAGAATGAGAACTATGATTGTGGTGTCCCGTCTTCCCAGCACTGTCATACAACACTTTGAAACTACTGACAGTTTTGGCCTCCACCACCACCTCACTTGATATCTACCACTGTTTACAAAAGAAAACTTTCTAATATTTTTTTGGCATCTTTGTTTTCTTGGCTTGAATCTATGATCTCTTGATCGTGAAGTTGCTAGTTTCAGGAATTCCTCTTTGTCAAGTTGGTCGATGCCTGTTCGTATTTTGTAATCGGTGGTCATGTCACCTCTTTTTCTATCTTCTAGTTTTGGCATATTTAATGCCTCTAGCCTCTCGTAGCTGGTTGTTACCTGGTTCATTACCTGGTTGATGGGGTTCTGGGAGTTCTTCTACTCCCCAAGCCCGGCCCGAGGCCAGGCTCGACTTGTGAGAGTTTGGTCCACCAGGCTGTTGCTTGGAGTGGCCCGCAGGCCCACATACCCACCACAGCCTGGTTGGTCCGGCACTCCTTGGAGGAATAAATCTAGTTTCCTCTTGAAAATGTCCACGGTTGTTCCGGCAATATTTCTTATGCTTGCTGGGAGGACGTTGAACAACCGCGGACCTCTGATGTTTATACAGTGTTCTCTGATTGTGCCTATGGCACCTCTGCTCTTCATTGGTTCTATTCTACATTTTCTTCCATGTCGTTCACTCCAGTACGTTGTTCTTTTACTGTGTAGATTTGGTACTTGGCCCTCCAGTATCTTCCAGGTGTATATTATTTGATATCTCTCTCGTCTTCTTTCTAGTGAAAGAAAGCTCTAGCTCTTGTTTTTCCATTCTGGAAGCCATTTTGTAGCGTGCCTTTGCAACTTTTCCAGTTTATTTGTGCTTCTCGAGATATGGGCACCATACAACTGCTGCATATTTCAATTTTGGTCTCACAAAGGTCATGAACAATTTCATGACTATCCATGTAATTGAAAGCAAGTCTGAAGTTGGAAAGCGATGCATGCACTCCTCTCACAGTGTTCTTTATATGTTCCTCTGGCAACAGTTTACTATCCAAAACCACCCCTAGATCTCGTTCTTTCTTAGAGTTCCCTAATTTCTTTCCTCATAATTTGTAAATTGTGTGGTCTATTTTCTCCAATTTCAAATTCCATAACAAGGCATTTATTCACACTGAACTCTATTTGGCACTTGTTGCTCCAAACATTTATTTTATTTAGATCAATTTGAAGGGAATTACAATTTATGCCTCCTATCTTCCCCAGTATTTTAGCATCATCCACAAACATGTTCATATACTTCTCTATTGCTTCTGGTAGATCGTTTATGTAGATGATGAACAATACTGGTGCAAGAACTGAACCCTGTGGTACTTTGCTAGTAGCACTCCTCCAGTCAAGATACATGCCTCTTATTATCCCCGTCATCTGTCTGTCAGAAAATTTTTCACTCATGTCAGAAGTCTCCCTGTCACCCACCAGCATATTCTAGTTTGGGTTTTTTTTATTCTAGTATTATTCATATTCTAGTTCCTAATGGGGGGTTTGTTTTGTTATGCCTATCTTTGTGGGTGCCTAGCCCCGGTCGATGGCAGATAAGAAAAAACCCCAACCACGGGTTTTTCCAGGGCCATTGCTCCCTGAAACCTCTCTGAAGGGGCCAGGTTCTGGCTCATGGTCCCTGGTAGGTCTGAACTCCATAGCTAATGTCCCAGTCTAATATAACATACATTAGCCCGATAAGCTCCAGGGAGCCGTAGGGGCTCCCCTCAGAAAATACGGTTGGTCACGTATTCCCCAAAAAACAGCCTACTAGAGCCAGGTGCAATACATACATAAGCATTCAGCTAGCTACATAATCTCCCCATTTACATGCCTTGTAGTGGCACCCAAGTCATGGACTAGTTGAAAGCTACTCCATTTCTAGCCACTAGTTAGAAATGTGACTAGACATGAAATCATCTACCTGGCTAAGTTAGCAATAAGACTGTCCAATCAGAGGCCATCTGAGCCCCATAGGACCGGGAGACCAAGGTGAGCTGCGAGCCACAACCCCAGGTGCCCTGGGCCGCCACTAGCAGCCAGATTTGTCCACTTGCAACAAAATATAGTTTGCCTTGTTTTCCCCTTATCATTTTTAGTTTTTCTAGCGTTAATTTGTTTTGCTTTGACTTTTGGTCAATTTTCCTCAGTTTTGGGTATATCTTTGATCGCCAAGCTCCCATCACATTGTATTGACAGCAAGATTCTGGTAATGGCTCCTGGTAGGGATGTGGATCTTGGAATCTGGCACAATCCTTAAGAGGGTCTATCAGAAAATACTGTAGATTACACAAGATCATCTCTTCAAAACCATACTTTATGTTGTTAATTCAAGATTTCAAACAGCTTAATTTGGATCTAATCTCCAGTAGTTGGAATTTGTTAATAATCATTTATAATTATAAGCTAGGTTAAAAGTACTGTAAAGTCAGGTTATCCTTAAAAGTTCGGAACCAAGTCCAATAAGTCTGGAATGCATCATCACTCCTGACGACATTTGCCATGCGATTGCTGACAGGGTGCCTGTCTGCATATCTAAAGGGTGCCTGTCTGCATATCTATGTCAATCATAATGGTGGACACATTGTACACATTATGCAAAGAAAATCAAATAATAAGCAAAACCAGTTTTATAATTTCATTTTATAGCTGCAGTCTTATGATACAAATATTAAAGTCACTAGTCAGAAAATGTTTAATACATGTACACTTGTAATGTTTGTGTGCACAATAGTGTCAACAAATAAAGTGTCCTGCACCCAAGTGTGAATCTGTAGAACGGTACCGTATACAACTTTGTACATTATCCTAATCACTGACCTTGAGCGAGACTTTGAGGGCTTTTTGGGCTTGGGTTTCTTCTCGTGGCTCTGACTACGACTTTTTTCTGCATTGGCCTTGAATGTAGATCTGTTGATAAAGAACAGATGGTATAAACAACCAAATTTAATAATGATAATGATAAACTAAGCAAACAGTTTTTTCTGCATTATCCCACTCAGCTGCTTCTTAAGTTAAGATCCTACCGACATCTGGGTTAGGATCTGGTACCATAAGAGTAGGTCAAAATTCCACACCCCCAAAGTGAGAAATTTGTCAAAGTCCCCCACTGGGTAATACTGGCAATATACATACTGCAGAATACTCAGTCCAGCCCAGCATAGAGACAGAAAATTCCAACTCTTAAATTTTTTTCAAGTACAATTTGTTGTAAAAGACAAAGGTCTAATTCTAGCTAACTACCACACTGCACTAGGCCACTATTCCCCACTGCCAACATGTTACAGAACTGAAACCACAATATTGTAGTTGTATCTGAATACATTTGACTTAACCATGCAATACTACAGTTTTACAAAAGCTTAATATGACAATTTTCATTGCAAGAAGATGCTTTACAGAGAGACTTGGGTTTACTGTGCCAATATGTGGTGCTGTGAGTACCAGGGGCCAGATTCACGAATGCACTTACGAACCTGTACATCTTTTCTCAATCTTTGGCGGCTTTGTTTACAATTATTAAACAGTTAATGAGCTCCGAAGCACCAGGAGGCTGTTTATAACAATAACAACAGTTGATTGGGAAGTTTTCATGCTTGTAAACTGTTTAATAAATGTAACCAAAGCCGTCAAAGATTGAGGAAAGATGTACACGTTCGTAAGTACTTGCGTAAGTGCTTTCGTGAATCTGGACCCTGCAAACTACTTAATTTTCCTCTTTAAATCATGATGGCTCTTGCTAGTGTACATTGTTATCATGGATTTAAAACTCTGCAGAGGAACGACATTTATAACTGCAAACCGAGCTGCATTCCATGACATATTTTAATGTGCTGATGCTGGACCGAGCGCTGCACTGCCTGGTAGCACCATTTAGCACTATTGGATTCTAGTTAGTTTTGTTTGTTTGTTTTTCTTTAGTCATTTTATTTTGATTGTGAATTGTTTGGCATTTTAGCTGTTCTTGAGGCTTGTGAACCCAGCAATTGTCTTAAAAGCTTTTCTAACATTTTGGATGCTTTCCCAGTGAAGAGGCAAAATGTGCTCTGTGTGGCTCATGTAACTGGGCCAGTTTTTGCCTCTGGTCCCTGGTAGACCAAATGAACTCGTGCAACTGATGTGAATGGTAGATTGGAGCAATCTATTTACAAGAAGCCATCGGGGCTCTACCAGAAAGAGGTGTTTCAGTACATTAATGCTGGGTTATTATGTTGCATATTTTTTCTTCATTGTTTCAAAGGTGATTTGACCAAGACTTTAACATCTTGGAGCACATATCCTCATTTATTGGCATATACAGTTTAAAGGAAATCAATAAATAAATACCATGCCCATGTCTCGCACCTTAGAAACTTGTTGTTATACATTTTCTTTTAATTTCTTATTTTTAATGTTCCACTTCAAATTTGGGGAGTCTTAAATTTCACATATTTAGGAATTAGTTCTCTTATTATGTGAAAATATTTTATGACTGATGCATAAACGTTTGAATTTACATTTTCAAAAGTGTCAATTTAAACAAATTTTATCAACACACACAACCAGCGTTGAATGTAATAAAACACTAATTTCCAAGTGACCCTAGTGGCTTCCTGAAGCTAGCATTTCCAATGTGTGTGTTTACTAGTTGTGTTTACTGGTTGTGTTTTTGCGGGGGTTGAGCTTCGCTCTTTCGGCCCGCCTCTCAACTGTCAATCAACTGTTTACTAACTTTTTTTTTTTTTTTTTTCTCCACACCACACACACACCCCCCAGGAAGCAGCCCGTGACAGCTGACTAACTCCCAGGTACCTATTTACTGCTAGGTAACAGGGGCACTTAGGGTGAAAGAAACTTTGCCCATTTGTTTCTGCCTCGTGCGGGAATCGAACCCGCGCCACAGAATTACGAGTCCTGCGCGTTATCCACCAGGCTACGAGGCCCCCCTGTGTGTTATCAGTCATGTAGTTCTCTGGCTTCCCCGGGACCAGAGCCAGAACCTGGTCCCCCCTCACAAAGGCACAGGGAGCTGTGGCATTTATATATTAACACTTTTGGGGACCGATGTCGCTTGAGAGCGGCAGCCATTTTTCTCTTGAATCCGCGAAAGTGTTGGGCGCTCACGGCTAGTGATCGACGTAGTTTTTTATTTCGTGCCGGTGTAACGCATCCTTGTGTGACATTTTATGCTTATGTTCTTCTAGAACATTCTATTGCGAACACATTGCTACAAAAATGAAATACGTACATCAAAAATTAAGGTCAGAACAGTGAAAAAGAGTATACACTTTTCAATAGGTCTCGCCGATGTGCTGTCGGGTGTGCGGTAACGGGTAACACTTCGGCCACTTCCCACACTCTTGCAGGTGGGCCGCGATCATGATTCTACATTTATATGCATATGTCTGCGTGGGGAATTTTATTGCGCTCTCAGTGATACCAAATTTAACGCTGTAGGACAAGCGTGGAGTTGACAACCCTGCAAAGAGTAGAAATATTTCGTCCCTGTTTGGAGCTCACGGCTAGTGATTGACGTAGTTCTTTATTTGGTGCCGGTCTAACACATCCTTGTGCGACATTTTATACTTATGTTCTTATATCCCATTGTGATGGGATCCCTGGATTTGAAAGTTCTCGTAATCCATCCAATCATTTTTCTGGCTGATGCAATATTTGCTTGGTTATGCTCCCTAAACGTTAGGTCGTCAGACATCATTATTCCCAAATCCTTTACATGCTGCTTTCCTACTATGGGCACATTTGATTGTGTTTTGTACCCTGTATTATGTTTAAGGTCCTCATTTTTACTGTACCTGAGTACCTGGAATTTATAACTGTTAAACATCATGTTATTTTCTGTTGGCCAGTTGAAAACTTTATTAATATCTGCTTGAAGTTTTTCAATGTCTTCAACCGAGGTAATTTTCATGCTGATTTTTGTGTCATCTGCAAAGGATGCATTTTTTTTTCTTTTTAGTGTTTAAGTGAAGCATACCACTTCACTACCACCTGCTGTGTATTTCCACAGAACATTCTCACATAACACAAACTGCAGCGGCCCCCCACCAATGCCACAAAAACAAAGAACACAAGGCGATAGAGGAATAAGGTGGCGATCGAGAGAAACTAAAACAGAAGAGAAAAACTAAACCAAATGAAGGACAGCAAAGAGGAAGAAAGAGCGTGGTGAGCATCAGGCTGTGAGAAGCTGCATCGAACAGCCTGATGGATCAGACCAACAACCAGGAAGCTGGTCTGGGGACATGATCACCGGAATCTTCAACAGAAGGTAGTCAACCGTTATCTAATGGCTCTTTTGGTGCTTTGTTTTCATAAATCATGAAGTACTGTACTATGTATTGTCTAGCCTGCTTTTCAGAGTGCTTTCCCAGTGAGGATGATGGCAACAATCCCCTGCTCTCTGTGCCTATGAGGGAGTCAGGTTCTGGCTCTAGGTCCCCACAGCATGCCAAGACAACTCCAAAGACTGATTAAGACTGATGTGACTGTATGAGACTTATGCCCCACTTAGGACGCAAGTGGAACTTGCTCAGAAAATGATCATTCTGTTATGTACCTTAGAGCATAGATAACATTTGTATGCAATCAGAATCATTGTTCATATACCTAAATTTGCAGAAACACGTATTATTTGCTATGACATTTGGCGTCAGCCAAAACAAAAGGTCAAATACTGTATTCTGAGTTCTAGACTGTTAGAGAATCTGGATTTCACTTAGAATGATATATATATATTCTTTCTTAAATACAGAGTATGTAAATGGCAACTCTAGTTGCCATTTACTGGGTCGTTCTTTAGTATACTGTATATCTTTACATAATACATGCATGCATGTATATAAATAAGTATATGTAGACAGGTATTGAACTCTTTTGGGGCAAATACCATATAAAAGGTTCCAGCACATTAGCTGAAGGATTAATATTACTATTTACCTAACCAATAAGAACTTTTCAAGCATTATAGCTATATTTTGGTCACTTAAATATTTAATAAAATTAAGTGTACAACTCACCTGGCATCCTCCTTTTTGTCTTTGTCCTTCTCCTTTTCTCTAAATTATAAAAGAAACAAGATGTTATGTAATAATCAAGTGAATATAGTATACTATGCAAGTCAAGCAAAGCATTATCATATGTTTTGTGATCAAGCAAGGTCATATATATGTGAGTAATGTGATTTTTTATATATTTCTAAACAACAACTAGTAGACTAAACTTTACATCACAATTGTGCAAATAATCAGCTTTCAATTTTCACTTAATTATGAATTCAAGTAATCCCAAACCTGCCAAATCCTCTGCAGCGCCAGCCACACCGCCGCAAACTCCCACGCCATGCCGTGAGCCCAACACATAGACAACACCCACCACCTCTGCCCGGACTGGTAAGCATTGGTCACAAAGCCCCTACTGACAGACGAGGCATCCGTGAACACATCGAGCGAGGGAAGAGGAAAGCGCCATGACACCGAAAAACCCAAAGAGGAAGCCTGTGGCGCAGCAACCGACCTAGGAACACTGGGGGGTCAAACCCAGCGAGAGCGGTGAAAAAAAGCTGTCCCAAAAATACCAGAAAATCTTCTGAAGCCAAACCCTGTCCAGTGGATAAACCGCTAGGCAAAGTTCAGGCTCCCGCACAGCTGTGCGAGGCTCGAGGCAAAGTTCAGGCTCGAGAAACCGCCGAGTGACCCGGGTATCCTTTAAAAGCAGCCGATGGCGAGACTGCAGCCGGAGCAAGGCCGCTCCGGCCTTGCTCCGGCTTGTTTCAAATCTCCAATTTGTTTCAAATCCAAGTACACTGCCTATATGGGAACATAATTTGAGTGGCAGTGGTGTTAGTGGCGTTATGTCGACTTCAATTTAATCGGAAGAACTTTATAAATTGTCACCCACACTTCCATGGAATATAAACATTCCATTCAATGTACCATAACCATAGAAAAAGTACCATAGCCTTTCTCAAGATTCATATGGCTCTTGCTCAGCCTTAACATTTAAAGTTAGTCAATATGCCTCTTCATTTTCATGATAGTAAAAGGAAACCAGTCAAAAGGAGAGAAAAAAGAAAAAAAAAAAAAAAAAAAAAAAAAATGAAAAAGATCATAGCTTACTTTGGTTTATTCTCCTTATCTCTAGACCTTGAGCGTGATGATGACGACGACGAGGAGGAGGAGGATGAACGTGAAGATGAACTGCTGCTGGAGGAGCTGTCTGAACTGCCCGAAGATCCAGAAGAACTTCTTGACGAACTATAAAAATACATGTAAATATAATTTTAGCAATGTCAGTACATTAATGCCTATTTGTTATTAATATTTTCCTAGTCTATAGAGAACAACAAAATTAAGTTTGATTATTAACCTACACATCAAAATATCTATAGCTTTAACATGCGTTATTAAAGAGAAAGACACCATTTTATATACTGTAACACCCAGGACCTCCTCCCCCTTAGAGTTCACACCCAGGGAAGCCTTCTCCAAGAGGTCAGCCCAGATGACCTCCGGTTTATCTTGTATATTGATTATAAATTCCTGGGTTAGTCTTAGTCAGCATAGTTTCAAGTATGTAATATTTCATGCAAGGAAATTAGACTCCAGATTCTTATGTGTAAACATCCCTGGATCTCCCCCTTTTGGCCAGGTCAGAGGTCAGTCACATGTAATTAATAACTCCTCTCTTGAAGAGTGTAGGGTGAATGTCAAACAAGCTTATTTAAATATTTCTTGAGTGTTTGTACACTTTTGGTGGGTAGCAACAGCAGATCTCCCCCTCCCCCCTGTGGGGGGTTGTATATAGAGGGCCTGTAGGAACATCTCAGCCAGGGAGAGACAGATAGCTTAAGGTAATGTGTGTGATCTCTGAGTTTTGTTCCATGTCCAAAGTTCTTAACTTTTTGCCAGTGTTAGGGTAGGATTTATAATTGGTGATTGACATAATTTTGGTCTCAATAAACTCATGTTAAATTTCCCGTCTGTGTCAATTGTTGAATCCTCTTAGCCTTTTGGATATAGTGGCTGACAACCGTTTTCATAATTAATGACAGTCATAGAAAGTACTCTCCAAGTCAAGCAATGTTTCTTGCCTCGTTGCTTGATATAGTCTCAATGGTCAAAGGCAGATGGTGGCAGCGTATTTAATCCTTGTGTTAGCATTTCCTTATTGGCAGTGTATCTTTTGGTTCCGGTGTAACCATCATATGTCAGCTCACATTACCGTGTTTTATAACAGTGTTATCAAGTGCAACCGATGAGGAAGTGTTACTCAGGATTAGTAGTGTTCCATTAAAGGGGTACATTTTAGAGTGGTGTTACAATACGGTAAATGAACAGTATAGATGAACCCTGTGGAAAATATCTCATGTTGACACCCAACACACACATCTGAAAACTAAGAGCATCATCATTTTGGTACATCCTGGACCATTATCAAGACATGATAATGGTCCAGGACAATTCGAAACATGCTCAGTTCTTTATTTTCGGATGCGTGGGTTGGGTGTCAACTCTTCAGCCACATTACTGTGACTCGTCACCTACACATCTCTCATATGCGGCCCTGTCGGCAAAAGTGTAAAAGTACCATAAACAGAAGTTTAAACTTGGACATAATATTCTTTTATACAGTATACCCAACAGGTCTCAGTTATTTAGCAAATGGATGAAGTTTAGCAGGGAGACTGGTGGATGGGTAAATGTTAAAGATATGGAGAACATTAAAATGTAGAGAGATCATTAGAAGTACTGTAGCTGGAAAAAATATTTTTTAAAGTGTAATACATGAGAAGAGGTGCTAATGTGAACATGATTGGATTTGATGGTATGAGAAGAGTGGAAGATCATATAGCAGCCTGTACTGTATGACGGAAAAGGTGAAGAAGCTGATATGTGGAAAAGTTCCTGGTGTTGATTAGGTAGCAATATATGTAAATGATTAAATGTTAAGAAAGAAAAGAAATGGAGAGTGTGTATACAGTACATGCCAGAAGACATGAAAGATTGGTAATGTGCCAAATGATTGAAATAGAAGTAACTTTACCATTACAGTGGAACCTCAACTTACGAATGCCCCCTATTTACAAATTTTTCGGGTTACGCATTCAATTTCACATTTGAATGAATGTGATGTGCAAGAAGCAACATCAACAAACTGGAAAAGGTGCAAAATGTTTCCCAGAACTAACGGACAAGAACTACGAGGTGAGGTTAGAGGCATTAAATAATTTTAATTTAATTTAATGCCCCTAATTTTATGTCACATCTTAACACACCCTATGCTAAAACAGCATAACCTAACACAGCCTAACCTGATGATATAGGGTTCATCAAACATAAAACTATGGTTCAGCATGACTAGGCAAGACTCACCCCGAAGCCCACCCAGCCTTACCTTCTACTGGAGCTGCTATCACTGCTCGACGACTTCTTGCGTGGTTTCTTCTCCTTGTCTCGTGATTTCCTCTCTTTCTCCGAGCCGCTGGTGGAAGCTGACCGACTACGACTCCTACTGAGAACCCTGAAATGCCAGAATTAAAATATGACAGGGTCTCGGTAGTACTGTTGTCATTGTTCTCAACTCACAGAAGGCAATCCCAGGTTCCAATCCCGGGAGGGACAGAAATAGTCGGGCATGTTTCTAAGCACCTAATGTTCTATTCAAAAAGCAGTAAATAGGTACCCAAGAGTTAATATTATTATTATTAATAACAATAATATTATTTATTATTAACATTATTAATAACAATAATATTTATTATTAACATTATTAATAAATAATAATAATAATTTATTCAGGTAAAAGTACAAACAAAATGAGTTACAAGCAGAATGTTTGATCCTACTTCTATTATGTTAAGCGGTAATTGGTTTAACAAATCAACATGCACAGTGTTTGGGCAAGATGTGGTAAAAAAATGTAAAAACTACGACTTAAAACCAAGATCAAAATAATGAATTGAACTGAAGCAGAAAAAAAGAATGACAATAATTACATGTTGACTGGAACAGCAGAAATTACAGAACTGTTGAACTTGAACAGAACTTGCAACAGAACTGCAAAAGTAATTTTAACTAAACAGACTACTGTACAATTTTCATTAAGTTTATACATGGCATATATCAGCAGTTATTCAAGTTAAGTCATTAATAATTATTGTTTGATAATAGCAAGACATAGGTTGACATTTAAAGAGGTAAGGTAGGGTACATGGAGTTTATTAGGTAGTACAGTACTTAGTTTTTCTCTTAAACTGGGGGAGAGAGGTATAGCCTTTGACATGATTGGGAAAGTCATTCCACATTCTGGGTCCCTTAATTTGCAGAGCATTTCTAGTGTGGTTAAGTCACACACTTGGAATATCAAATATGTATTTGTTTCTAGTGTGGTGCCCATGGGTTCTGTTACAACCTTCTAGAAAGCTTTTAAGGTCAGGATTGGTATTACAGTTCAGAGTTTTAAATATATAGAATACACTTGAGAAGATGTGCACCGACTTAATATCTAACATATTCAAAGATTTAAGTAAGGGTACCGAGTGCTGTCTGGGGGCCAGAGTTTGATATTGCTCTAATAGCAGCTCTGTGTTGAGTAATTAGAAGACATAGATGATTTTGGGTAGTAGAACCCCAAGCACTAATACCATAATTGAGGTAAGGATAGATGATAGAGTAATAGAGCGTCACCAGGGCAGAGCGAGGTACATAATATCTGATCTTAGAAAGAATGCCAAACAGTTTTAGCTATACTTTATGTACACAGTATTTTGAATGTGTCCCTGAAAATTCAGCTTGTTATCGATAAGGACACCAAGGAATTTACCATCTACTTTGTTACTAATTTGGAAATTGTTAACTCTTAGATTAATTTGATTTGAGATTTTATTGACATAATATAGAAGGTTTTGTCAAAGTTAAGGGCGAGTTTGTTAGCAGCTAGCCAAAGACGAACTTTATTTAGTTCAATATTCACTAACATTCTGAGTAAGAGAGTCAGGACTGGAAAAAAGTTAGGTTGTGTCATTAGTCAGTCAACTGTTGTGGGGATGCATCTCCTTAACAGTTAACTAACTCCTGGATGCCTATTTACTGCTAGGTGAACAGAGCCATTAGATGCTAGAAAGCGTGCCTATCCCATACAAAATGAATTAAAATATGAATCAGCCACCATTTGTACACAGACCCTCGGTAGAGGCGTTGGGGGGGGGGGGGAGACCAGCCCGCTCTGTATCATGGTAAATGTCGTCAGCTACGTTCACTTGACACTGCTATCACATGGGGGAGATGCCCTGGGGGTGTTGGGAGTGCGTGAGACATGAGGGAGGTGAGAGATGAGAGAGGTAGACACTCACATGTTGCGTGAAGACCTGGACACAGCGCCGCCAGCAACGTCTCTCTGATCACAGTATTCCTCACGCTTGTACAGTGATGCCAGACCTCAATTTCTGAAAGTAGCGAGAGGAAAGTCTAAAAGTCGCGAATTTGTAATTAAAGTAGCCCAATATTTTGTTTAGTGACTCATATAGTTGTCAGAATTAATATATTTTAATAAGAACATAGGCAACTGCAGAAGGCCTATTGGCCCATACGAGGCAGCTCCTATCTATAACCTCCCAATCCCACTCATATACATGTCCAACCCGCGCTTGAAACAATCGAGGGACCCCACCTCCACCACGTTACGCGGTAATTGGTTCCACAAATCAACAACCCTGTTACCTAACCAGTATTTACCCAAGTCTTTCCTAAATCTAAATTTATCCAATTTATACCCATTGTTTCGTGTTCTGTCTCATAGAGTGCACTACATGATTCAATGGTTGTAATAATATTATCACTCCATATATATACTAAAAAAGATCATAGTATGATAACTTAGCACTAGAAAACGGTCGGTATACTTTCTAAAATCAGTTTTTTTTAACATCCTTATGGATAACGTCGTTACCATGACATTTGCAGAAGGGTTTAAATTGATAAGCTATGCTGATGATATAGCATGCTTTCATCTTACAATATGTACACACAATGAAGCAAATAGTTATCTTCACTCACAGCTGACAAAAACTTTGCATAACTAACAGCATAATCAAAACAGATCTCACAGTATGCCATGTGATTACCCATTGGAATGTGAAATAATTCACTGTATCGGGGAACAGGAAGCCAGAGTGTATTCATACAGGCTAGGCTTTTTAATGAGGCCTAACTTGCAGACAAAATTAACCCAACGTGCAGGCGATGAGCCACAATAACGTGGCTGAAGATATGAAACTAAAACTCACCAGAAAATGAGGAGACGACGACGATTATCAAGTCTATTGTGATGGGAGCGAGGTTGTTATCGTTTTAGATTTAGCTACTCAGAACGAAATGTCCATGTAGCACAGGCTATCGTGAGCCCGAAGAAGGGAGCGAACTTGAACTGTAACCAGAGGGAGCGAGATTGATTGATGAAAATTAAGCCACTCAAAAGGTGACACGGGCATTAAGTAAGGCAACGGAGAGGTGAGGAGGAGGAAATTCTTAGAGGAACATAAGAACAAAGGTAATTGCAGAAGGCAGTTAGTTACCTTTGGCTCCCACTCAATCCTACTCATATACATGTCCAACCCACGCTTGAAACAATATCCTCATCTCCACTACGTTGCGCGGTAATTGGTTCCACAAATCAACAACCCCTGTTACCGAACCAGTATTTACCCAAGACTTTCCTAAATCTAAATTTATCCAATTTATACCCATTGTTTCATGTTCTGTCTTGTATTGATACTTTTGTGCAAATTCCAGCGAATGCAAATTAAGCTTTGTTAATCTTTCTTCATATGAAAGATTTCTAATTTGGGGAATTAACTTAGTCATCCTACGATGGACACGTTCAAGTGAATTTATATCCATTCTAAAGTACGGCGACCAAAACTGAACTGCATAATCTAAATGGGGCCTAACCAGAGCAAGATATAGCTGAAAAACCACACCAGGTGTCTTGTTACTAACGCTTCGATTAATAAATCCCAGTGTTCTATTTGCCTTATTACGAATATTCATACATTGATCCTTTGGTTTTAAATTCTTACTTATCATAACTCCTGCTTGTTTGAGACTGCCGGCGATAGTTACATGCACATCACCGCCATCTACACTAAGCCTGGCCCGCCTATATAAGCAGCTCACCACCGGCCAGTCTTTCACGGGAGACATTTCCCGTCACGCAGGGTGCAGTCGCACCTCCATAGATCTCCAGTATCGGCTCTTGATACTGGTAATGGCTCAAAAGGGCCGCCACTTACGGGCTATTCATGCCCGTGCCACCTTTTAGGTGGCTTAATCTTTATCAATCGGCCAGTCTTATCTTGGGTGGCTTAATCTTTATCAATCGGCCAGTCTTATCTTGAGTGGCTTAATCTTTATCAAACGTTGTTATATATTGTTATAGATTCAACTATACTTGTTCAGCTACTCAGAACAAGTTCCAAGTAGCTCGGGCTATGGTGAGTCCGTAACTTACCTGGCACAGGAGCGGGGCAAGTAGCACGGGCCATGGTGAGCCCGTAGTGGATTTACCTGGCACAAGAGCCTAGTTTTATCAACTTTGTTGTTGTTAGAGATTTAGCTACTCAGGACGAAGTGTCCATGTAGCACGGGCTATGGTGAGCCCGTAATTTTATCAATCAATCGGCCAATCTTTCATACTTACCACAGGAGGTACCGTGATCACGGCTAGTCTTCAGAATACGCTTCGTGCTCTCAAGCTATAACATGTACTGTAGCCTTCCCAGGAAACAGTAGATGCGTACAGCTTTTTGTATATTGTATTATTTTGCACCTCTCTTTGCCCTTAACGTAACGGTCACATGTTTGTTTCTTTTGCATTTTGTATTGTGTATCGCCAAGTAGAATATGGGAATTGTTATATTGTTAGTCATTTTTGTTATATTAAATATTAAACGTTTTTCATTCTTTTGGAATTTACCCGCAGCTCTCACACAGTAAAGAGGTCAGAAGCAGTCTTATGTACTTTATTTTTTTTTTTATGTGACTGGCATTTCACCTGCCGGAGTAGCCACTGCTCTATTCTTTCAGATTAACGTCACACCAAGAAATGCTATGATGGAGATAATGAGGAAGGAATTGAATCTGAAGAGTATTTGGGATAGAATTTCAAAGATAAATGTAGCCTCTGCCATTAGATTAATGAGAGGTGGGGAAGCTAATAAATTAATCCTCTTAGTTCAATGGTGGGAAGTGATGAATAATGTATGTTAAAGTACAATAAGAGAGCATATATATATGATCAGTACCTTATGTTCTAATGTTACAAAGTATGATGTTATTCCAAAATGCATTGCTTTGCGTAAGTGATAATTCACGCCACCATGGGGTGTTGCTGTTTTAGATTCAGCTACTCTGAACAAAAAGGTCCAAGTAGCACGGGTTATGGTGTACCCGTATTGGACTTACCTGTCACAGGAGTGGGGGCTATAATTTGCACCATGGAAAGATTGCATCGTAGATGTAGTAATTATTCTCCTGCCAAAGAACAAATGTATGAGATAGGAGAGCTGAGGACAACATATGATTGTATAATTAGAAAATTACCTACAGAAAACACTCTACATGTATATTGTGATGGGTCAGTATCTAGCTAATGCTACTACTTCCTGAGAAGCTGAAGGTAGTATCGTCAGCAAATAATATAGGTTTAAGAATGTTAGAGACATTAGGCAGATCATTGGTGTATATAAGATTAGGGAAGGCCCTAGGATGCTGTGCTGTGGCACTCCTACAGTTAATGGTAGAGTGGGAGATATATCATTGAGGCTACATATTGGTGTCTCATAAGATAGGACTTTTCTTAACAGAAGGAGGATGGTAGAAAAAGAATTAAATGAACATCACACTCGACTTGATAATGGTCCAGGACGGACCAAAACGTCGTCGTCTCATTTTCTGGTGTGTGGTTTAGTCTTCATAGCCCAACTTATTTTTAAATTAGCCCAAAACGTCGCAAGTAGCGAGATTACAAATTTACGAGCGCCGAGCGTTCAAAGGTAGCACAATTTGCTACGTTTAGTCCAATCTGGCAACAATGCTCATGCATCTTATAATATAAACACAACTCCTCCTTGCTTATTATTACAGAAAATTATCTTTATATTTTATAATTAAAATAATTTATTCTTTTAGCGCAAATCAAGCTTTCATAATTCTGTATTTTGAGTATGATTAATATTTACAGAAAACTGTTAAGAAGGTAAACTATAGTAAATACGGCTCCCTGTCCCGCGTTTTACTTGAGTTTGTATCTTTTTTTTTTTTTTTTGAGATATATACAAGAGTTGTTACATTCTTGTACAGCCACTAGTACGCGTAGCGTTTCGGGCAAGTCCTTAATCCCATGGTCCCTGGAATACGATCCCCTGCCGCGAAGAATCGTTTTTTCATCCAAGTACACATTTTACTGTTGCGTTAAACAGAGGCTACAGTTAATTAAGGAATTGCGCCCAGTAAATCCTCCCCGGCCAGGATACGAACCCATGACATAGCGCTCGCGGAACGCCCGGCGAGTGTCTTACCACTACACCACGGAGACTGCATCTCAATAAACACACTTGAACTTGAACTTGTACTTGAGTTTACCTAAGAGCCACTAACACTAATGGCCTCGACGAGGAGTGGAAGTTCGAACTGACTTCCGGAACAAGTGCTTCACTGACGAATTTTTGTTCGAACCACAACGCTGTAAATGCTTCACCCACGTACTACAAATACAAATAATCGCCAAGAGAACCTAAACACCTAACCTAAGCTATGCCTATATATATGCACAATATGCTATTATAGTATAATATTAATTTGTATTTGAGAAAATTCCCGTTTTGAATGAACAGAATGTAAAAGTTTATGAATGCGTTTGTGGGGTCGACTGCTGGATGGAATGGACTTGAGTCGAGGACGGGTTGGTTTCCTTTCACCTAATGCACTATTCACCTAGCAGTAAGTAGGTATTCAGGAGTTAGTCAGCTTGTTGTGGGGCTGCATCCTGGGCGGGGACAGTAAGTCAACCTTGGGGAATGACCTTGATATAAGCCTAACATGCATAAATACACGCTGGTTACCTGTTCCCCGACAGGTACTTATTATTATCCTGGAGTATGATTGGTAGATGTGGGGGACGGGTGTAGGGGGGCGGCGCGCCATTGGTGGATGGCGGCCCCGGCCCGAGCATACCTGTGTTGTCATGGCCGCCCTCAGAGTGTCCTCCTCTCGCCTCAGCAGCTCCCTGAGGGGCGTCCTACACACCCACACGGCAGGCCTCGCCACCACTCCCGCCATGGTAACTATGCTGCAGCTGTTACTGCTACTGTTGCAGTAGTAACCAACAGTAATGCCAGTGTGTGGTCTGCAGGTGGGCCGCCGGCAGCCCTTCCCTGGCCCACTGGTCTACTCATGTTAACAATGTCATGTCAGTATTTACACAACGGGACACATGTTGTTGTTTTAGATTCAACTACTTGGAATAAAAAAATACAAGTAGCACCAACTATGGCGAGTCTAGTGGGCTTAAGGTACAGAATCCTGGGCGGAACTGAAATGCTTGGGCGAGTTTCCTATCGCCTAATGCGTCTGTTCACCCAGAAGTTAATAGGTACTCAGGAGATAGTCAGCTGTTGTGGGGTGTGTTTGTTTTTATTGTATTTATTTATATATTTTTTTATTTATTTATTTTTTTTTATTTATAAGAAGGTACATTGGGTTTGAGAGAAGATAGCATTGATGTTTTTACACTCTTCTAAAGCCACTAACACGCATAGCACTTCTGGCAGGTCCTTAATCTAACAGATAATTTTAAGTTAGTAATTTGTAGCAAAATTTTATGAATATTAACAGGTACATCGTTCTGATAGCAGATTTTTGCTGAGTGATGTTGGGCTTGAGGTAATTTGCAGTAGTTGAACTCCATGCACAGATACCCTATGTAAGATAGGGGATAGATTCACTCACTACTATCTTACAAGATTAAGAATGGTTGGTATACAGTACTTTCTAAAATCAGAAATTAGGATCCTCGCCCTGCTCTCATTATACTACTGTACATGCTTATCTATCCTCTATCAGTCTCATGTCTATGTAAGGTAGGGTATAGATTAGTGCGTAGTATAATGAGAGCGAGTGGGGATCATAAATCTGATTTTAGAAAGTATACTGACCGTTTTTTTTTTTTTTCCTGTGTTGTATGTGGGTGCTGAAGTTCAGTCTCTTGTCTATATACAGAATAGGCTAACGAACTTTCCCTCATTTTTATTGCTCATGTTAACATTGTCTATCTGAATTTGAATTTTATTTGACGATTTACTACCAAATAAAATGTAGTAAGTCTTTTCTATGTTTAGTGTGAGTTTGTTGGTTGACATCCATGAGTATACTTTTTTTAATTCGTTATTGACAATAATATTTAGTGTGTGGGGGATGGGGTCAGAATAGATGAAGGTAGTATCGTCAAAAAATAGTATAGGTTTAAAGATGTTGGAAACATTGGGCAAATCATTGATGTATATAAGAAATAGGAGAGGTTCTAAGATGCTGCCCTGTGGCACTGCCACTGTTAATGGTAGCATGCGAGAGGTTATGTTATTGATGGCTACATATTGGTGTCTTGCTGAGATAGGAACGAATATAGTTCCGAGCATGGCTTTGGATACCATAGTAGTGAAGGTTAAGTAAGAGGTAGTTATAGTTATATAACAAAGGCCTTTCTTAGGCCTTTGATACTGTAAACTGATAATAAATGTTAACATTGCCATTAATACTTTATTTTATTTAATGTCTGCCACTTTTGTTAAACAATTGTGTACTGTATTTAAATACATAGCAGTGTACTGTATATTGCTGAACTGGGATAATAATACATCATGCTTGATAACTTATAGTACGTGTACTGTATTTGTAATGTACTGCATTGTTTCTCTTATCTTTTTTGACAGAAAACAAAAATAGGGAAAACTAAATTTAATAAGGTAAGAGTTTATAATGTAACAGGCAAATTGTTTTCCTGCATGGCATTACAGTTGCACAGATTTAGAGAGTTTGCATTTGGTAATGCACAGATTCGACCCCTTTAGTTGTAGATGGGAGTATTTAGCACCCTTCAAGAACCAGCATTTCACATTGTGCTTACAATCTTTCTATTGTCTTGTTTGTTCAATACAGCTTCAGTATCTCCATTTAAAAAAAAAAAAATTGTGATTCTGCAAAATAATTATTTCGGTGAACTCAGATTTGCTGTGTTCAACTTAATATACACGATTAGTTAAGTTATACAATCCCTGTGCATCAAAATGTTTATAAACAATGCAATTCCATACAATACTTCCTGTAGATTTGTATGATTTTTTTTAATTGAACTACATGTTTTGTAATTTTATCAGAACTGTTATGTTTTAATTCATGCCCATTACATATACTGTACTGTATAATGAACTATTGCCTTTGATATAAGTACTGTAAGTTTTTACATTAAGAATATAAAATAAAAAATTGATTTTTTTTTTGCACTCTAATTAGGTTCCTCCCAGAGACATCTGGCAAAGTTCCTGCAAGAAATAGGAAGTAACCTGAAATGCTTCTTTATATATGCAAAGTATAAATACAAAAATCAAAGTAAATAAAGGCCCATTTACTGTAGTTGAAAAGAGGTACATATACAGTACTAGTACTGCAAATCTATATAAGAGAATGTCTGTATATCTGTTTAAAGGTTGGAGGCCAGATGCTTAGTGCTAACCTCATTAAACATTGTAGGATTAATGGTGATCTTATCGGGAGTGACGGGGTGAGGGTCAACCCTGTGCCTCCTGAAAGGGGGCATGGGGACGACCTTGCTGAGTGAACAGTGCTCGGGGATTGTAGTCCTAAGGGCTCGCTACTTTCACTCGCTACCAGTACTTTCTCACTTGTTCCAACTGTCTAAAACTGCAAAGAAAATGTTCAAATTTTTTTTTTGGCACCATTGTTTCCTTAACTTGAATCTATGACCTCTTGTTCTTGAGGTTGCTGGTTTCAGGAATTCCTCTGTCAATTTGGTAGATTCTTATTATTTTAAAAGTAGTGATCATATCGCCTCTCTTTTCTTCTAGTTTTGGCATATTTAATACCTCCAGCTCCTCTTCATAAACTTTGTTTTTCAGTTCAGGAAGTAATTTTTGTAGCATGCCTTTGCACCTTTTTCTGTTTATTGATGTTCTTCTTGAGATATGGGCATTATGCAACTGCTGCATATTCCAATTTTGGTTTCACAAAAGTCGTGAACAATTTCTTTGGTATTTCACCATGTAATTAAAGGCAATTCTGAAGTTGGAAAGTGCCCATGCTCCTGCTGCCTCGGCTTCCGCCCATGCTCTTGCTGCCTCGGCTTCCGCCCATGCTCTTGCTGCCTCGGCTTCTGCCCATGCTCTTGCTGATGATGAGGTGATGGATCACACATCATCCAGCATCAAATAGAGCTTGGGGACACAGAACATGTATCAGCCAGCAGTGGGTAAGATGCAATGGCAGGATGGGGTTGGGAAACTACTGTAGTTGTAAACGTGAGCAGATTATTTACCGGCCAGTACTTGGACAACCTGATGTGTGCTAGCCAATCATAGGATGTTTTATCAACACTGGAAGGTTTATTATTGTTTTGTTGCATGACAAGAATTCTAATAACCATATCTGTATATATCTACACTAAATTTTATTCCATATCATGCATTAATTGATGCCCATGTTGTTGCTTTATTGTTTAAAGTTGTGATCAGTATTTAATATATTTTCAGGCAAGCAAAGTAGGAGTTAGGAAGGAGTCTGATACTTTTGGTGAATTGGAAGTGCCAAATAACAAATATTATGGAGCGCAAACTGTTCGTTCGGTTTTAAACTTCCCAATTGGTGGAGAAACGGAACGCATGCCGGTTAGTATCCACTTTTGTAGATCGTTGAAGTATTATAAATATTAAGTTTTTTTATATTACAAATTGTTATTATTATAAGTCTTGGGTTTTACTTTTTCACTTTCTATAAAAATGTGATAATTACTTGGAGAAAGCAAATGATTAATGTTGAATAGTCTCAGGAGAGTATTAAACGTGTATTAAGTGGGTAGAATAATATTAAATGCAATGTATATCACTAGTTCTGACATGGGTCTATTACCATTTCTGTGGGGGATCAGGTGGCTGGTTTGATGGTGACCCACTTGCAACATTATGAAGTTACCTGGCACTCCAACTTTGTCGTTGTCTGCACTGTTTACACTATGGCAACTTTTTCTCGTCTAATTTTTTCACTTCCCCTTTCATCTCGCCTATTTTTCAAATTCACTACACATTACATTACACATTTCACGTGTGAAATTCCCAAAAATGAAATTCATTTTTGAGGTTGGCTCTTGATTTGTTTTATTGTCTGCTAGCTACCAGTGATAAAGGCCTTTGGAGTATTAAAGAAAGCTGCTGCAGAGGTGAACAAAGAGTATGGCCTCGAAGCAACTATTGCCGATACTATTTCCAAGGCTGCAGATGAAGTCATCAGTGGAGAGCTTTACCAGGAACACTTCCCACTGGTCATCTGGCAGACGGTTAGTCAAACTAACGGAAGTGTTACACAGTGAAATATTTGTTTAAATATGCATAATTGTATTGTCATTTACTGTAAGGAAAATAGTATATAAGCCAGATTTTAGAGGGTACACTGTAGTATATTTGAGTTCTTTTGTGGAATGTACTAATGTCTCGTATACATGGCCATTATATTTTTACTAGTTTCACTGACATTGTAGTGTATCTCTACAGAGAATGATGGCCTCATGTCGATCATATTTTAAATTCTGTTTTGTATGAGCAGCGGTTTTATATATAATTTTTTTTTTTTTTTTTTTTAATTTTTGAAGGGTTCTGGAACACAGTCGAATATGAATACTAATGAGGTTATTGCCAACCGTGCCATTGAACTCCTGGGTGGAACGTTGGGCTCAAAGTCTCCTGTCCATCCAAATGACCATGTTAATAAGAGTCAGGTACAGTATATTTTAATTTTGCTATAATATTAATTAGATGTACTGATGCACAAATTTTGTCTAGTTGTTACTTTTAACTGATAGATGTTAACAACCAGTTTTAACAGCAATGCTAACATAGTTGCTCTGCACTGTACTGAACCACTGCACTGCACAGTGTCGTGAGGCGCTGGATCGAGGGTGCATAGAGCGCTATATGAAGTTTTTAGGAATAGGAGCGATTTAAAACTCCCGCTGTTACGCGGGGTTCACATCCTGTGCCTCGGGACTCCTGTAAACAGATGCCATCTTGAAAAAAATTCAGCACCCGTGCTGGCTGTGAGAACATTAGTACTGAGAGAGCGACCAAGGCATGAGCATGCAGGAGCTGCGTACAGCACCACTGTGCAGCTAGGCAACATCACCACTTTTTAATGATGAATAAAAAGGGTAACTGAAATTATTTTGCATAGATTGCATCAAAGATGATCCTGATGAAGATCCGTCGATCCATAGATGACGGGGCCTGACAGCTGAGTGGACAGTCAGTCATAGACAGTCATAGACAGTCGGATTCATAGTCCTGAGATTCCAGGTTCGATCCATGGTGGAGGCGGAAACCAATGGGCAGAGTTTTTCACCCTGATGCACCTGTTCACCTAGCAGTAAATAGGTACATACCCGAGAGTTAAACAGCTGCTACAGTTTGCTTCCTGGGGGTGTGTAACAAAAAGGAAGCCTGGTCGAGGACCTGGCCACAGGGACGCTAAGCCCCAAAATTATCTCGAGATAACCTCATGATGACTGTGATAGACTGTGTACAACATTCAGATACCAGTGAATACAATGCTAGTTATGATATTCACAGCATGAGGTACAGACACATCACCCAGTCATTGTTTCCTGCATCTATGCATCATGAACTAACCTTATGTTCTTTCATTAATGTTCATTTCCTTATGGAATTGGATTTCATAAGGAAATGAGCATTACGTTATTACGCTATATAAGTGTATGTAGCTTAATAACAACACGAACAGTTTGGCTGGTTACCTTACCTTACCTTGAGGTTACCTTGAGGTGCTTCCGGGGCTTAGCGTCCCCGCGGCCCGGTCGTCGACCAGGCCTCCTGGTTGCCGGACTGATCAACCAGGCTGTTGGACGCGGCTGCTCGCAGCCTGACGTATGAGTCACAGCCTGGTTGATCAGGTATCCTTTGGAGGTGCTTATCCAGTTCTCTCTTGAACACTGTGAGGGGTCGGCCAGTTATGCCCGACCCCTCACAGTGTTCAAGAGAGAACTGGATAAGCACCTCCAAAGGATACCTGATCAACCAGGCTGTGATCTATCATCTCTATGGCTGATCTAAGAATGTGTCGCCATATATGATTCCCTTATTTTTGAGAATAGTGATGTTCCACACATTTAACTATATAAATTCTACATATTACACATTGAATAATATTACTACAAAAAAAACCCAGAAGAAACGAATGAGATGTTGAAATAATTGTGAAATATTATATTCGTAGCAACTGCAGCCCCACGGGGTGGCAGGGTCGAGTGTCCCCGAGTGCTTCATCACTCGGCGCCCATAATTTGCTAAATTTTTCAGCTCCATCACGGCTAAAGTATGGCGCATACAATATTTTATTTTAGTTTACCGTCAAAGACCACATTTTAACAATATAAAAATCCAAAATAATTTTTGGAGATAATTTCTTTTTGGTGCACCATAGGGGTGTTATATTTTAATGCAGCACAGTGCAGTGGTTAATGCCTCTAACCTCTTCTTGTAGCTCTTGTCTTTCAGTTCTGGAGATCTAGCTAAATGTCTTTGCACCTTTTCCAGTATATTGATATGCTTCTTAATTAAAACACTTTGGTGCTCCTGGGTCGTAAATAAACAATGCATAAATGAGCATCATACAACCGCTGCATATTCCAGCTATGGTCTCAAAGGTTGTAAACAATTTCTTTAGTATTTCACCTTCCATGTATTTAAAAGCACTTTTTTGAAATTGGAAAGTGTAGCTTAGGCTTCTCACACGATGTTCTTTGTGGTCCTTGGGTGATAGATGGCGCTGGACATGCACATAGACACCACCGGTATTTAAAATTTTAATCGCTGCTTCTAATCTGCCATAGGTGATAGGCACACAGGCATCTATTGCTTGAGATCATTGGGAGCAGTTTAGGGGTTAATGAAAAGTCAAAGTGTAACAATATCTATAATTTGGCTAGGAATAAGGTTTCCAAATGTGAATGTTTTCTTGTATATTCCTTGATAGTTATCACTGTGTTTCCTTAGTATGAAATTAAATAAACAATTAGCAAGTTTGCCATGAAATCTAAAACTGTGTTCTTAGTTTTCAAAGCATGAAGAAAATTATATTCATTTCCTGATCACTGAACTAGCTCTGAAAATTTAATAAAACAAAGTGTGAGAGTTTAGCTATGGCAGCTATTGGTTATGAAGCTATAATTTGGTGACTGATAAATGTTTTCCTTTATAAAATCAGCATCCCTTCCCCCCCCCCCCTCAAAAAAGGAATATTAATTATTAAATATTTTGTTCCTTTATGAAAGTAAGATGGGGCATTCTTGGTTAGAGCACACATTTCAATCTTGATATTGATGATCATTTGCTTCCAGAGCTCAAATGATACCTACCCAACGGCAATGCACATTGCAACTGCTGTTGAAATTCATAAAACACTTTTGCCTGGTCTGGAGGCCTTGCATAAAGCTTTAGATGACAAGGCCAAGCAGTATGCCGACATTATCAAGATTGGCCGTACTCATACTCAGGTAAGTCAAAATGAACCTACTCAAATTTGCACCTTCATATACATCAATGACATATGAGATTATTACAAACCATATCATCAAATTTGCAGATGACTCAAAGATTTATGGTAAAGTGGGAAATGATAATGATATTCAAGGCTTGTAAAGAGATCTACATGAACTCTACAAATGGTCAGAAGACTGGCAGATGCTTTTTAATATCGACAAATGCAAGACCCTGCATGTGGGGCATAACAACCCATGCCACGACTACCAAATTAATAGCATTACATTACAGCAGATTGATGAAGAAAATGACCTGGGATTCAAAATCCACCACTCGTTTAAAAGTTGCACAACAGGTGGGTGCAGTAGTCAGAAAAGCTAACCAAACTCTTGGGATAATAAAGTGTGCTTTTGACTATAAGGAAAAGAAGGTAATGGTTCTCTGGTGTGTCCCTATTTGGATTACTGTATCCAAGCATGGAGACCTCATTTACAGAAGGACATGGTTGCTCTGGAAAAGGTGCAACACCGGGTAACAAAAGTCATTCCAGAGTCAAGTCATCTCTTGTATCGGCAACATTTGAGGGCCACAGTGCTAACTATACAGTACTGCAAACCAGGCATGACTGGGTGGATGTCATTGAATTTAAAAAAAAAAAATGAATAAGTTAGAAGATATTGATCCGTATATTTTCTTCAGAAGGTCAGATGTGACAAAAAGGAGCAGCAATGGCTTCGAGCTCAACAAGCCACAATGTAGGACTCAGAACAGGAGATGCATTTTCACCCACAGGGTTATTAACCCATGGAACCAACCGCCTACCCGCTGAAGCTGTAAATGCTAAAATTGTGTCGAGTTTCAAAGTACTGTATTGTATACCTAGAAAAGATGAAGGCAAACGCGGGGACCTTTGACAAGCCACTGACTTCTTGTCTCGTCGAGGCTACTAGAGTTAGTGGGCCTCGGGTTAAAATGAGGTAAATAAGATAAATAATTTGGAAGATGTAATTTATTCCTTTTTTCTTTTGACTATATATTTTCTTATCTATCTGAATCTGGTAATAACTCTGCCGGTGTCTACTGAAAACCAGAGAATTTAGTAGGCATAGCTAATTGTTCACTTTGATGTAATGTATTTAAATATTGACTAAACCAAATTAAAATTGTGTTAATCTCTTAATTTTTTGTCTTTTGTATTACTGTTTACTTATATATTGCTTCAAGGAGTCTTATGTATACCATTGAGTGGTATTTTCCATAAATGATCATGCAGATGATGTCACAATAATATTGCTGAAGAAATGTTGACTAAACCACACACCTTAAGTTTCAAACTTCAAACTAGAAACTTCAGTTTCTAGTGTGGTTTAGTCAACATAAATGATCATGGTGTGGGTCTGTATCCTTCAGGATTGCACACTTCTACTAGATACACATTTTAACATTTTCTTTTTCACAGTTTAATTTGATTTCAGATTTGATATAGTTTAAATTTAAGTTAGCACATAAAAAACCCAGCATTGATTGTAATGAAATGGCAATTTCTGGGCGAGCCCCGGTGGCTCCCTGAAGCTACCATCTCTGATGTAGGTACTCGGTCGTGGAGTTCTCTGGCATAACAGGGACTCAAAGCCAAAACCTTCCTCCTCAAAGAGGCAAAGGGAGCTGTGGCATTTATATATTAAGTTATTCATTTATGCCACAGCTGAGAAAGGCACCCAGAAAGTCAGTCAAAACAAACCACAGCTGGCTGCCTTTGAGACCTGCAGCCTTGAAAACAGCTTTAGTATGTTGCACTATACAGACTCTGAAGAACCCATGGTGTTCAGTTCCTCATTGTTGACAACATCCCGATCTTCTTTCACATACAGCATCACCCCGCCTGCTCTTGTTGTTCCGTCCTATCTGAATGGTGGGTGGTAACCTGGGAGATAGAATTCCCCTTCTATTCCTCTTTCACTGATGTCAATGATGTTGGGATTTTCAGCCTCTGCATATGTACATAATGATTCAAATTCATTTGAATCTTTTTTCTGTGAGGAAGGGGGGGGGGGCAGGTTTTGGCTCTGGTCCCCTGTAGGACAAACAGAACTCCATCTGATGTGACCCATTTGCATGGAACAATCTTGGCAACATAGCTTCAGGGAGCCACCGGAATTCATCCAAAAGAGGCATTTCATTACATTCAACACTAGATTTTTACTTCTTACTCTATGAACCTTTATCAATGAAAACTCTGCAGGTGAAATACAAGACATAAATGCTGTTGAATATTTAATTCAGTAATTCAATTTATGCAGACGAGTCACAATAACATGGCTGAAGAAATGACCAAACCATAACTCAAAAGATGGAGAAGCAACGACATTTCAGTCCATCCTGGACCATTATCAAGTCGTGTGAAAGAGGACGATTATAAAGTCTTTCACACAACTTGATAATGGTTTAGGACAGACCGAAACCGTTGCTTCTCCATCTTCCGAGTTGTGGTTTAGTCATTAATTCAATGTATTTTTCACTTGATATAAATTACATGGTTTTTAATTATTACAGGATGCTACACCCCTAACACTTGGCCAAGAATTTAGTGGTTATGCTCAACAAATAGAATTTGGTATTGAAAGAGTAAAAGTCTGCCTACCACGTCTTTACATGTTGGCAGCTGGTGGAACAGCTGTTGGCACTGGACTCAACACCAGGATTGGCTTTGCTGAGAAAATTGCTGCCAAGGTAAATAAAGCTGTGAAGATATTAAGAGCATAGATGCACTGAGTTCTTGCATGGTTTTACCTGTTAGTGATTATACCTTGCCTTGCAGTTACCTTGCGTTGATTGCGGGGATCAACGTCCCTACGGCTCGGTCTCTAACCAGGCCTCGCACACTTACGGGCAGCGTGTGTTAGATTTTGGGCCGTCTTCTAGAGTTTTGATTGTCCATCTTATGCATATATATATTAAACAATTTCACTTATTTGTGTGCATGTTGCTAATTACAAGCAAATCATTAGTTTCAGGCCATTTGCAAACCTACAGATTATAACCATGGTAAATATACAGAGATCTTTTTACTTAATTTGTCTGACAGTTTTGAAACGTATTTTTGGTGGGAACCCATCATGGGTCCTTGAAGCTACTTTTACTGATAGTGTACCATCTACTAGGCCACATCAGCTATGGAATTCTATAGGCCTACTAGGGTTTTGTAATGGTTTTGTAATGCTCCACCCTGTGTGTTTTCTTTCTTGAATTATTAATATTTTATGACTGGTATTTAGAGTAGAAATTTATTATTTTAGAAGGAATTTTTGTATACCATTTCTCTTGCTATTATTCTAGTGTCACATGTCATGTGTCTAAAATTCACTTTGCAGGTGTCTGAACTTACTGGCCTTCCTTTCGTGACTGCTCCAAACAAGTTTGAAGCCCTCGCAGCTCACGACGCCATGGTGGAGGTTTCGGGTGCACTGAATGTGCTAGCGTGCTCCATAATGAAAATTGCCAATGACATCAGGTTTCTTGCATCTGGTCCTCGTTGTGGCTTAGGAGAGATTTCTCTACCAGAAAATGAACCTGGCTCCTCTATCATGCCTGGTAGGTTGTACTTCAATATGACATTCAGAAAAATAGTTTATACTGATTGCTTGATGTGATTTTTTAATTGGAAAATGTCCTATAATGCATTTATAAATATGTTCTGAAGGTCATTTGCTAAATTTTAATAATTAAGCTGAGACACTACTTGCATGAAGATAATATAAAGAGAAAATGCAGCTTTTATATCTGTATAATTTATATAATACATATATATACATTTCATATACATTTTATATACATTTTATTATAAAAAAAATTATCATTCAGTTTTACAAAATTTCCAATTCTAGGTAAAGTGAACCCCACCCAGTGTGAAGCTATTACCATGGTGGCTGCCCAGGTGATGGGCAATCATGTTGCCGTCACTGTTGGTGGCTCCAATGGTCATTTTGAACTGAATGTCTTCAAGCCGATGATGGTTGCCAATGTATTAAGGTACCTCTTTAATTCTTTAATGATAATTCTTTGGCCTTGTATAAAACATTTTTAATACCATTTATGTTAAGTGCAAGTAATTACATGGGCAAGAAATGTTGATTAAACAAATATTGAGGTTTTCAAGGGTGAACCAGAACTAGTTCGCATAAAAAGTACCTCATCATCCGGGCTTATAATGCAACCTGTCCTCTTAATAGAACGTCATATTTTGACGTATCCTCTACTTAAGGTAAAAAAATTGTTGTACTAGAAAATGGTAGTGGCTCGCAAAATTTACATATTGTCCCGTTTTCTATTTTTGGTCATCTGGTAGGTTAGGAGAGGGCACTTTAGTACGACAGTTTCTCAGTTACGAAACCTTAGGAGGGCGAGCTATATGATTGTGGGTATATGGGTTGCAACCAGCAACATCCTCGCTGATCAAGCTGTGAACAAGAAGGCTTGATCATATAGGACATGCATACAAACATTTACAGAACTGGTCATAAGTAAACCTACTATCACTCCTGCCTTTCCTCTCTCTCAGCACATCTCCCCTGTCCCTATCTCCACCATATTACTACTTCCACCATATTCCTACCTCCATTTATCCCCCCCCCCTTTCCCCCTATCCTAACATGCTTTTACCCCCTCCTACCCCTAACGTCCTCTACCCTGCTCCTTACATATTCATGCTCCCTCTATCCATACCTCCCTCTGCTCCCCTCCTCTTAGACCTACCGTCCCCTGCTCCCACTCCTCTTAGCCCTCCCTTCCCCATTCCTCTCTGCCCACCTCCCTGTATCCCTATCCTACCACCTCCCCATGTCCCCATGCTCTCTCCTTTTGCACCCCCTTATCTCTATCCCTGGCACTTCCTGCCCACTATATTCCTCTGCTGCCCCTATACCTGACTACCTTTGCCCCCTTTCCTTACTCCTGGCTCCCACTGCTCCCCCCCCCCCTCTGCCCTATCGCAGCCTAGCCCCTGCCTCCTTTCCCCTATATCCCTCTGCCCCCTTCCCCTATCCATGATTTCCTCTGTCCCCCTTCCCCTATATCCCTCTGCCCCCTTCCCCTATCCATGATTCCCTCTGTCCCCCTTCCTTTGCCTATCCCTGACTCCCTCTGTCTCCCTCCCTTTGCTTATCCCTGACTCTCTCTGCCCCCCCCCCCCCCCAGACCCGCCCTGCCCTGACCCCCTCTGACCCTTCCCGACCCCCCCCCCCCCTCTGCCCCACCTCTATTTCCCCTTCCCTCCCTCTCTATCACTTCCTCCCTCCCTCCAGTCTCTTCCCCACTTGTGCACAAGTATTCCATGTAAAGTGGTGCAGAAAGTCATGAGGTTGACTTTCAGAAAGTCATGAGCTGAGGCATCTGAAGAGGCAAATGGAATTGGACAAGTCTCTCTCTCATGTTAACATAGTCGCTAAAATGTGACTGCAGTTAATCTCTCTCCTTTTTTTTTTTTTTTTAGGTCCATCAGACTGCTTGGGGACAGTTGCCATGCCTTTGTTAATAACTGTGTGGTGGGCATTGAAGTGAACCACGAGCGTATACACAAACTTCTCCACGAGTCTCTGATGCTTGTCACTGCCCTCAACCCACATATTGGATATGACAAGGTAATTGATTTATTAGCTTCTTGTTTGTTGTTAATAGTCAGGGCATCTTATCAGCACTATTTGCCCCTGGGCAAATCAGTGTGCTGTGGTCCCTACAATGAATACTGTAAGTTAGGTAAGGAAATTCAACTGGGAAAAGAGTTTGTAAAAAAGATAGTGGTTACACAGGATATAAGAAACTGCAAGAAGGATATGCAGCTAACCGATGCACAAGTGCCCAGAGAGGAAGTAATATTAGAAGCAATTAAGGAAGTGACCGGGCAACAACAGAAATCTGAAAGACCTCGACCTATATCTTTTAGCAAAGAGCCAACAACGTGTACTGCGGATAAACCAACACAGTCCAACAAAGTATGATCTAGGAATTGGCCAATATTATGCATAGGGTGTATGCAAATGTGGCCTATCAGGAAGAGCTAATGGAATATGTAAATATAAATAATCGAGAAACTGCAGAAATATCCTAAACGGGTATGTCACTCTGAAAATTGCTAATTTTTGCACCCAAAACTAAAAATTCACTAATCAAGAAAAAATGTTTTAATTGAGCTTGACGAACATTTCATATCAAAGGAACGCCATTATGAATACAGAAACACTCGTACATATCAGTGAGATTTTTCAGTAAGAATAAGGAAAAGAATTGCAAGAACTGTCCAAACTCTACCATGAACAGGGCTAAATGCTAGATAGGACACCACGTGGCACCTACCAGAATCAGAGATATTAACACCAAGCAAAATACCCAGCACTTCCACAAATAAGATAACATCTTTCTTATGTCATCATACTAGGTATCAAAATACACTACAAAGTCCATTTTATAACTGGTCTAAGTAATTACCTAAGTGTTTTTACAGGATGAGAGCTACGCTCGTGGTGTCCTGTCTTCCCATTACTCTTTGTCGTAGAACACTTTGAAATTACTGACGGTTTTGGCCTCCTTCACCACCACCTCGCCTAACTTTTTATAACCGTCTACTACTCTGTTTGCGACAGTGAATTTTCTTATATTTTGCATATTTGAGGCATATGCAATGTTTGCAGCTCTGATTGAAACTCACACAAAGGACTATTAAGACAATGAAATATGAATACCAGAATTCAATCTTTTCAGATGTGATAGAAAACATAGGCTACAGGCTGGGGAACTTTGTGTACATGAGACGCTCATCTGCACAGAGCTGCTAAACACCTCAAATGATATGGTGGAAGTGCTGATACTCAACACAGACATTCTAAATGTGGTGATTGTTCTTGTATATAAATCACCAGATGCAAATCCTCAGCAGTTTAAAGAGGGATTTTCAAAAATAGAATACTGTACTGCTTAGAAAACCTTGCAAATCCTGCTCCCCCAACTTTTTGTTGAGTTTCAACTTACAGCCCCTAAAATGGAAATAGTGGCAAATACTGTTATTTCAGATTGAATCCCAGGAGTCGGTTTAAGTGAAATCACACAAAGATGACCTCTTGCAGATGTGTGACAGATTTGGTCACACATTTGGTCTTTAACAGGTCTTTAACTTCCAAACAGACCCAAAGTGTAATAGTCAACAAAGTAAGGTGTAATAGTAAACAATATATAATATATATATATACATACATATACTGGGCATAACTGGCTGATCTCGCACAGTGTTTAAAAGAGAACTCGACCAGCACCTTCAAAGAATATCTGATCAACCAGGCTGTGACTCGTACATCAGGGTGCAAGCAGCTGCATTGAACATCCTGGTTGATCAGACCAGCAACCAGGAGGCCTGGTTGGAGACCGGCCTCGGAATCATCAACAGGTAGTCAACATGTAGCTTTGGGAACTGGATCATTGGTGTGCCTCAGGGGCCAGGCCATTGGTGTGCCCTGGGAATTGCTGGTGTGGCACATGAGGTGGGTTACAGATGTGCTGTGGGAACTTACATAGTGGGTCTGCCACAGAAACTCTGTTGCAGATGTGCCACGGGATCAAGTCACGGGTGTGTCATGGGAGCCTGGTCACAATTGTGCCGCGAGGGATTGCTCACGGGTGTGCCATGGAGCCAGGTCATGGGTGTTCTGTGGGAGATGGTTCGTGGGCATACCACAGGAACTGAGCCATGGATATGCTTTGGGAGCCTGATCATGGGTGTGCTGCAGGAGCCAGGTTGTGGGTGTGCCACAGGAGCCGGGTTGTAGGTGTGCCATGGGAGGCAGGTTGCAGGCGATTTATGGGAGCTGGGTCACTTGTGCAGCAGAAACTGGCTAGTGGGTGTAGGGTGCAAAGCCAGGTCATTGATGCACAAGTCAAAATGAAAAAATATTAAATTTCATG